AGATGCAGGAGGTATTGTAAGAGAAGGATGTCTTGTTTTCTGCTTAATACTGTTTACTCATAGCGCTTTGACAGCTGTGGGATTGACCATTCACCATTTGATCTGGGAGTTCTTCCTGGTGAGTGTGGTTCTCTGCAAAAGCACCATTATCTGCTCGTGCCTCTGTAGCCATCACCCACACCAGTGGCCTGCGTGCATCTGTTTGGGGATAACCTAATAACAAGCACCTGGTAACTGCTGCAGTGCCAGGGTGAGCAGGGAGGTGATGAAACAGGTGCTGGGACTGAGAGCATGAAATGTTGTTACGGGGAGTTAGCAGACACTGCTAAATTGTTTCTTCATGCAGGAGTTTTTTCCAGTAGAGGAAAGGTGCAGACAGCAAAGAGCGCTTATCCCAGGCAGTGCAAGGATGGCTGCTATACGTGGCTGTGTCCTGAGCCAGAACTGCAGGTCCTCTGACAAACACAGGCAAGAAGAACACTTCAGAAATAATCCTTTCTGCCTCTGGTGTCAAAGCCTGTTATTAATTTATCCCCAGTCTGAGTTACTCTGTGTCACTTCTTACACTGCGGCTTTCAGAATCATCTCTGTCCTCCGTTTCTGCCAACGTCGGGTGTGCAGAGGTCTGTATTCAGCAGGGTGACGTTTCAGCTGCGTCCGTGTGTGCCTGAATTTGTTTCTTCTGGGGCACTGCATCCCTCCTTGTGTCTTCTTTATGCTGTGCATGGCTGCAAGCACTCCATGTAACAGGGTTGGAGCAGTCTGTGGGGGTTGGAGCAGTCTGTGGGGCTCTGTGAGAATGTGCAAATCAGAGCCCTCAAAGTAGGAATGCTTTTGCATTTGCAAAGTGAAGCAAAATCATGATAAGATCAGAGTGTGTAACAGATGGCCAAATTCCGAGTGAGGTGGATTGCTGGGTTTGGTTTGGTATGAAGGTAATGTTTTCTTGCCTACATGCAAACTTCATTTATAAGCACAGGAACAAACATCGTCATATTGGAAAAAATTGTGCACAAATAGATAATTATGTGTAGAAAGAGGGAGCTCCTAATTAGCCTGGCTTCTTGATGGCCCAGGAAGGCAAGAATAAAAGAACTTCTGTTTAGTTGATCTTATCAGGATTTCAGTCTGCATGTCTGTAGCTGCGCTGTGCTCTGTTGCAGATGTGTGTGGCCACACCATGCAGATCATTGCAGCTTTTCTGCCCTCCTGTGCTTTTCACTATGCGAGATGCTTCTAAAATGCAAATGGTTTTTCTGGATGTGAAAGGGAGCAGTGGAGTTGTGCTTGTTGTGTGCAGCTGCTTGTCTCTTCAGTCGGTCTGTGTTTGTGTGGCTGCTTGATCTGCTTTGTTTTAACTGTGGATTGCATTCCTCCTTTTGGCTGACCGGGTGCCCTGGCTGCTATGGAAGGAATCTTGCTTCTAAGGCACTTCCCATTAAAATCCAGAAGATGCACTGCATCATCTCAAGATGCTGCGATTATTTTGCAAGCTTTGAAATGTAAAATTAGGATGTCAGCGTATGAATCCAGGTTTTAAAGCAAGATTAAGTAATTAGCATTCAAATCTGCTAACCTAAGATTGTATTCTGTTTTGTGAAGCATTGCAGTATAATATCTTCTGTTACACAGCATGAGGATGGGGCCTTTAAAGGTCCCCTTCAACTCAAATGATGAGAAAGTGATTCTGTGATCTGTACCTTCTGGAAAAGCACGTACAGAAGAGGTTTGTAATCAGAAACAGCACTTCCACATTTATGCAGCCTGATCTGCCCATCACAGCACTGATCACCATCACTTCTCTCCTGTTAAGTGGATTTCCCTTAGCAGTAACCCAAGAACTTAACAGAAGCCCAAGAGGCTGGAAATGGGAATGGACAGAATCTTACAGGTAATCTGTCTGTTCCATAAAGAAGCTGGGCACTGAAAAACACCTGAGAGGAATGGGAGAAGAATCCTTTCTGGGAGTTCTACTAAATAAGCTTCTATTTGTTCTACACAAAGCAGTTTTGCTTCTTAAAATACTACTGAGCTGTGCCATTAGATGATGTCAGTCAGGCTGAAAGCTTCTGATGGATCACAGATGCATTGTACCAAATAACCCACGGCCTTCAGACGTCACTTTTAAGTGCAAGTTACAGTTTGCTGGTTGCCCAGAGAGTCTTTGTAACAGAAAGTGATGCAATGCTTTCTGTTCATCTCCATGCCATCACCAAAATTAGAATTAAAGGTGGCAACAGTGGACGAGCCACACTTGAATGAAGATGTAATCACTGTTGTTGGATATAGAGATATATGCCTGTTTTTATAGCTTACAGAAGTCATCTGTGAGGCTGTCAGTTATGGGTAAGAAGTAGCAGTAGCATTGATTTCAGTGGCATCTCATTCTTTTTTTCTCCTTGTTGCCTGATGCTCAATGGGGCACATGTCTCAAATCGTACTTGCAGATTATTCTGCCTTTCCTCAAAGGCATCCTAGCACGTCCACAAGAGGAACACCATTTCTGGGGCATGGCTGGGTTGCAGCCATCGCTGGCACTGATGATGCTCTCCTAGGCATAAGTGTGTATAATCACTTGGGCATTTGGAAAAACAGCCCATTTGTGCTACAGCTCTGTTTTGCTCATGTTGTAACTCTTGTCTTTTTGTCACTGTTGCTTTCCTGCTGGCTAGAGGGCTCCTGGAGAGAAGACCTAGTTGGGAACTTGCTAATGAGCTGAATGGAAGGCAGAGCAGCACCAGCTTTAGCCAGCTTCTCTGGCTTCTGACAGTCTCCTGAAATATCCCAGGTGCCATAGATGTGCTTGCTTGCTCCTTGGAGGGCTGCATTGCTTTATTCTGTTCTTCTCAACTGCACGCCATCACCGATGCCAGTGATGCTGTACCTGCAGGAGGTTTAGCTATTGCAAAGGTTTCTGTTATCCCAGAGGCCAGCAGCAAACTGGTTGCAGGGAGGTGCATTCCCAGGTGCTAGGAGCCCAGCAAAGCACGGGCTCTGCACACTGGTGATGCATGATCCTTCTGGTTTTTATTCCCTTAAACTCCATGTGCACATTTAAACAGCGTAAAATATTGCAAGGAGTTAAAAGCAGAATTGATGCATGGCTGCAGTGTTGCTGGTGGTTTTGTCTGTGTGCAGAGGTCTCCACTTGGTACATTGAAATTATTCCTGTTTCCAAACTGGGCAAAGAGTGCGAAGCGGTGGCTCTTCATTTAATTTTGTTTTAATGTTAATGCATTACACCATCATTGCATGGATTGCTGACCTACCAGGAGGCCTGTGTCAGTGAGTCCATCACATTTCAAAGGTTTTCAAGCTCTTAAATGTTCAGAATCCACTGCTGCTGCACTCACTGATGGAGATGCTGTAAGAGACCAATGTTTTGCTTCATGCCTTCCTGTTCTTCCTAACCCTCTTTCTCTCTCTCTCTTTTTCTCTCTGGCCTTTTTGTGTATCCCTTTCTTTGTAGAATATGAATGACTTTCTCTGCAGAGAGGATGTGGCTGAAGAGCCAAAGTGGAAAAGTGTTAACCCTGGCTTTGAATGGGAGGGCCCAAAGCAGTCGGTAGCTTTTAGCGAGACCCCAGTGCCGCTCACCTGCGAGCCTCCTCCACGTGGTGCATCCCCCGCCAGCAGCCAGGACCACGAGGAGGAGCTGAGCCGTGCCCAGGGCCTGTGTGCAGCTGCGGAAGAGCTGGTGGCTGGCTCTGAGCTGCCTGAGCCCTCCGCAGACCCTGCTGCCCCTCTGCTGCAGCCCCAGGGAAGAGCGGAGGTGGCGGAGGCCGGCGAAGACAGCTTGGTGGCAGAGCTGGATGGCAAATGTCACGGCTCGAGCAGTGCGAGCGAGCTGCCCGTGGTCATTCGCTGCTTCCAGGTAGCCCTGCTCTCCCCTCACCTCCCTGATTGGCTTGGGAGTGGAACCCCAAACACTGCAGCAAGCAGGTGCTCCAGACCCACGAGGAGGAGTTGTGCTTCCTCGGCTTGGGCGCTGTCTTGGCGCTGAGGACCCGGTCGTGCGCCAGCCCCTCTCAATTGATCTCTGCACTAAACACAAGCTGTGCTTCAGCACAACGCCATTTGCCTTTCTGCAATGAAAGTGTCCTCTGACATCCCCAAAAGAGGAGCATTTAGGCTTAAGGTTTTTGCCATCTCCTGGACTGCAAGGCTGAGCCTTAGTGCAGCACAGCGAATTGGATGCGTTGTCAAGCGTGCTTCCATGAGACGTAGGCACTGACATCCTTTTCTCCTCCCCACCTTGAGAGGCATTTTTGCCTGCTTCAGTGTTCCTGAACGTGAATTGCTTCCATTCCAATAGATGTCTGCTTCCCCTCTAACAACTGGTGGCAGCGGTCAGATTTGGGACTGCAAACAGCCGTGGAGTGATGGGGGCAAACACTGCGGGGCTGAACTAACTCTCCTTTGGGATGATTATCATCAGGTGGCGGACAGCTGATTTCTTTCTTCCCCGTTTCTCTTCCAAGATGCCACATTTCTGTTTTGTCTGACATTGATTTAATAAAAGTTGAAGGTCTAGGATGAGATGAGGGTTTTTAATGAAATGTTCCACTTGTCGTCAGGATGAAACTTCTCAGCTGTGAGCAAGTCTCCATTTGTCCAGGGGCTGTGTTAATCGTATCGGTAAACGAGGGTCATCTCTTACTGGCAGCTGGCCGGGGAGCTTCTAGTAATTAGAAAGTTCATAATCAGGTGAGATGTTCCTTGTGGCGTGGTGACACTGCTTGGAGCCTCACTGCCTTTGTTGGGCTGAGTTGGTGCCATGGTATCCGGGGACGTGGAGGATTTCTGTCTGTTAAACCCTTACATGGAGCTTTGACTTGTTGAGAAGTGTGTTGGAGCAGAGGCTTAGCAGTGGAGGTTCCAGGCTGACCTTGCTTCCCACAGAGCTTTTATCAGATCAGTGTCAGAACATTTGCAGACCACAGTTGTGATGTGGAAATACTGAAGGGCATTGACTGAGCTCTTTCACACCTGTCTCACAGCCACCCCTAGTGAAGACACAGACTGTCACCATCTCAGACGTGTCCAATGCTGTCAAAAGTGAAATTCCAACAAAAGAAGTTCCCATTGTTCACACGGAGACGAAGACCATCACCTACGAAGCTGCACAGGTAAGGTGTGTTCTGATTAATTTTCCAGGAGCTTAATTAAACCCATCCTAACGTGCAGCTCCTTGGGGTGATCCTGCAGCACCACCTGGTGCTGCCTGCCTTCCTCTGAAAACAGCTGAGCCACAGCACGGGTTATGGTCAATACTTGGAGGCATGCAGTGATTTTGGAGTAGCAGCATTTTTAGCATCCCTGCAGAATAATTACCTTCTCAAGATGTGCAATTCCTTTTCAAGATGTGCATGCAAACAGAATTTATCTTCAGCTCTGGGATGCAGATCAGGCTGTGCACATTTGGCTGGAGCTGGCTTTTTTTTTGTGCAGCGGCTGGCTTGGCTTGGTTCCCCCTGTTCTCTTTGCTGTTTACACCTCTTCAGAACTCTATAAACGTTTTTGGAAACATTTGAAGATTCTCCTTTAGTCCTCAGTACTGAAACAGGTGTTGAGGTGATGGATCTGTATGTTTCCAGTGCTGGGGTTTTGTGCTGAGACTCCTGGGATCCACAAAGTCCTTGTTGTGCAGCTGAGAGTCCTTCAGCCAGCTGCAGAGGGGTCACTTCATCTCTTAATTCCTGCTTCTGCTTCTGAGGTGGGATTTGTACTCAGATTGCAGCCTGCTCTGTGGACGTGGAGCCCGTTTCCATCACTGCTGACAGAGGCTGATGGTGTTTGTTTTTGTCTCCCACAGACAGATGGTGGCAATGGAGATTTGGACCCTGGCATCCTGCTCACTGCTCAGACCATCACATCAGAGACCACCAGCAGCACCACCACCACACAGATCACCAAGGTAATGAGATGAAGCAGTGACAACAGAAACAACAAAGTAAAGCAACAACACAATAAAGAGATGGGCAAAATTGAATAGCAGAAAGAAAAAAAAAAGCTTACATTCCTGTTCCTTTCCAAAAAAAAATTGAGACTAACACCTGAAACAAAGCTTGGGGGTCCCAGAACTGCCTGTGCTGTATTAAAACTGTAGATGATGTATTCCATGGAGTCGGGTCAGGATGTTGGCTGTAGCTGTCCTGTGAGACAACAGGAGAGAAATGCACTGTGAGTCAAAGCTCTTCATTGGCACAGTTACAAGAAAAGATCACTGGATGCTTGACAGTGTTTGTCTATGAGCAGTGGCAGTTTTCCTCTTTGATTTTGATACGCTGGTATGACAGCAGTACTTGGTAATCCTATTTTTGGATGCCATCTTTAGGCAGGCAGCCCCGGTGCACTCGAATGCCTTTTTGCTTCTCAGCTAACAGCAGTTTTCCCTTTGTGGCAGACTGTGAAAGGTGGCATTTCAGAGACACGGATTGAGAAGAGGATTGTCATCACAGGAGATGCAGACGTGGACCATGACCAGGTAGGAGTCTGGATGCAGTTCAGAAGAGCTTCTCAGCATTGGCACAGGCTGCAGCCATGCTGTCTTTCTGAAGATAATTTAAACAGAAAATAACCTACGGATTGTTTTCTGGGTAAAAATAAAGCTCTAAAGCTGATTTTAATAATAAATTCCTTTTTGACAGTAGGCAGTTTCATAACTGGGACAGCAAAGCTTAATTCTGCTATGAAACTGGTATTGGCAGCAGGGTTTTGATAGAATTGCTTTGGAAAATTGCGATTTAAGAAAAATCTGCAAGAAAATGAAAGAAGTTTTCTGTGGTATCTGGATGATCTGCATTAATTTTCTCAAACCTTACAAGAGAGATTGCTGCAGTGCAGTGCCAGAAGTTGTTTCGTAGCTCTCAGCACCACTGGAGAAGAGATGCCTGCATTAAATCTCACAGGCTTTATATGAGAGCCTTTCTGATGAGTCAGCCTCACTGGCCTGCAGCTCGTGTTGGAAGTGATGGTTTTGTCATCAGAGAATCATACGTTAAATTTAATTTTAGTTGCAGCTATCACGGGCCTGGAAAACACTTGTACAGCAAGAACTAGTTAGTTAATTCTGACAGCAGATGTCTGAGAATGTCTGCAACTTGCTAGTCACGCTTGCTGGAAGAATAAACAGAGTTTGCTTAATTGCTCCTATCCGTCTTCTAACAGGGGCAGCTGGGAGATGTGATGTGTTCTTAGAAAGCCATCTTGCCTTTAACAAATAGCCCAGTGCCACTGAAAGCTGTGCTCTGCCCAGCTCCCAGAGACGTGTGCATTTGCTGTGCCTGGGGCTCGTGGCCAAGCAGTGTGAACAGATCCAAGGAGGCCTAATGATTCCAGCACCTTGTGCTCCTGTTGGGATCGGGAGCCTTCAGGACATGAGAATTCTCTGCTTGGTGTAAGGTGCACCATTGATTCCTGCCTTGCCTTTAAACCACGCTTCCTTCCAAACTGCAGGCAGAAGGCTTTGCTTTCCTTTCTTTCTGCCCAGAGTTAGAAATAGGCTCTTGTTACCTCGAGCTCCCCCTGGCCCTTGTCTGAGATGTGCTCTCTTGCAGGTCCTAGCTCAGGCTATAAAGGCAGCAAAGGAGCAGCACCCGGACATGTCGGTGACCAAAGTGGTTGTGCACCAGGAGACTGAGATTGCAGAGGAGTAGCAGGGCTGAGTAAGTAGGGAGACCACGTGCCATAAAGGACAGAGCTGTTCCTCTTCAGGGCAGGCAGCTGATGTCAGTGCAAGGGATGTTCGGCTCAGCATGGTCAGAATGTAAGGAAAATTACTGCTGTTCACCAAGCAGTCCTGCTCAGACTGTTCCTGTTGAATCTTTTAAGGCTGGTGCAGCAGTCACAAACACAGACTTATTCTGAAGTGGAAGTGAGCCCCCCAAAAAGGTGTAAAAGAAGCGAGATGGGTGATGGGGCTGCTCTGTCATACCTCTCATCCCCAGCTCCTCGAGAGCATGCTGAACTGCAGGTTCCACAGATCCCTGCCTCTGTCATCGCTGGGCAGTGGGCTCCTGCTGCTCCTGACCTGCCTGAAGCATCCCTTCTTTGGTGGCTCTTGGAATTGGTGCTTTGGGGACAGGCACAGGGCATTGCTGGGACAGGTGCCCAGCAGTGCAGAGCTCAGGCTCACCCACAGCACTGCCAGCAGCTCGTCTCATCTCTCTGTGACTTACAAACAGATGACTGTCAATATCACAGAATCACAGAATTGTAGGGGTTGGAAGGGACCTCCAGAGATCATCGAGTCCAACCCCCCTGCCAAAGCAGGTTCCCTGCACCAGGTGATATTCAATATTCATAGCTTACCCTGTTTCTCTTTCTAGGAAGTGTTCTTTCCAGATGATACCAGGAAATAAAACGGAGCAGAACTACAAAACAACTACCTGGAGCACAGAGACCTCAGAGCTACACGACTTTATCCTCACAGACTGAACATTCATATCACTTAGCAGGATTTACGCTTCAGCATTTTACTTGGGATTGTCCAGAATGCACTGGATCCTATTGGATATAGTTTGTTGGTTGTTTTTTATATATATATATACATATATATATATATAGTGACAAACAGTATGCCATATTTCTAACTGTACTAAATATTTTTACAGGTTTTCAGTTTTGCATTCCCTCTCACAGCTTCTTCAGATGCAGGCTCAGACACAACCCGCAGGGCTCTTAGGGTTGCTTGGTGGGTTTTTCTTGGTAGTTTTGTTGTTGTTGCTGTTGTTGTTGTTTTAAAGTCTCATTCCCTCAGCCTGGCTAGGCATCATGGAGGTACAGCCACGTCAGAGCTTATCCTGACTGCAGGATTTGTACACACCTTCAGAAAGCAGTGGGTCCTTCTGAGCCACTTGAAAAGGTCAGACTTGAGTCTGTGCAGCATTTCCAATTAATTACCTCTGTTTGTAGCTGTAGGCAGTGTGAGACTCCTGCAAAACACCCAGGCACAGAGCAGGGCTTCTACCTTCACCGTGAGCTGCAAAGAACCATTCAGGTTGGGAATCTCAGATCACCATCCCAGCCCCCCCATGCCCACCCAGCCCTCATCCTTTGGACTTTCCTCACCTTTGGGTGTTGGACCCCCAATGTCTGAACGCAGGAGGGTGGTGTGGTGTAACACAGGCACACATCCTCGTGGTTGGCTAGCTTAAGGAATACTGGAAGTTGCTTCGAGTACCTTATACTGTGAATTCCAGAGCTTTGAGAGGACTGTGGCAGATACTTCCCCTCCTTCCATGCATCCCTGCTGAGTGCTCCCTGCCTGGTTGTGTTTTCTAGATGTCATTCAATTGAAAAGCCCTTAGAAGTGTGCATTTAGTACATTTGGACTCTGGATGCTGTTAAGATGGTCTTATGCAGCATTCACAGAACTGATTTTTTTTTCTGTGTCATAGGTTTTCACTTGTTGGTGTTCTGAATTTTTAAATGAGGTTTTTCCCCTGTTGTGGGTTGTTTTTGTTTTTTTTCCCCCCTCCTGGTGCTATTTAAAGCTGAACACGTTACCCACATATCAGGGCAAGGTGTTGCATCCTGCTTTCATTTAACTTAAAATCCTATAGCCAGTCCTTCCCCAGGTCCACAGGCTGCATTGGGAGAGGGAACCTTGGGAGGTGTCACACTGCTGGTTGCAATAAAGCCAATTGTGGAAAGCAGTGCAGCACTCTGGGGGTGCTGCCTCCCCTCCTGCATGCTGGGGAAGGATCTGTCCTTCGTGGCTGCCTTGCTGGAACGAAACACCAGGGCTCTTATCTGCATCTTTGGGCCGAGCTTACAGACCACATAAGAAAATATCTTCAAAATATATATTTAAAGAGAAAGAAAGAAAGAAAAGCACACAATGTGAAGTTTGTTTGTGGAAGCCTCAGCCCCCTCACTGCCATTCCCAAAGCCTTGGCCATCCCCACTCAGTGGATGTGATCCAGGTCTCACTGCTGGTCCCTCCATTGGCTCCCAGTGCTGAGCTCCATGGGGATGCTGTCGCCATGCCCTGGTTTCTCCTTCCAGCATTTAAACACGAAAAAATCAAGCTGTGTATACTCTGCCTAACGCTTGTGAGCAGTAAGACTTGGAAGATGCAATTTTCTATTATTTTTTATTTAGTGTAGTGTGGCACATAAGTAGCTGAAGGCGTGGAGTGCTCTGCTGCCGCCCCCCAGTCAAGGAAGGAGGAAAATGGCAATAAAAACCCCCTGCTCTCTGCTCTTTTAAACTTGAATGATTTGTTTCTGAAGTCACTGGAGTTAGCTGAGGCTGCAGGGACAGCAAACAGCCCTCAGACTGCATTGTGACTCCGTGTCACTTCTCCCATTCAGGTGTCGTTAAGCTGTCAGTATTGATCAGAGCCCACGCTGAGAACACTGGGGCTGCTGGATGTTGCTGTGAGCCTCATGGATGGCTGAGCTGCAGCCTCCCCTCCGGCTGCTCCAGGGCTCCCTGCCCTCCTGGAGCATCCTGTGCTGCCCATTAGCTCACACCTTCCTACATCCACCTGAGCAGCCCCCTGCAGCACAGCCCTTCCATAACGCAGCATCTCTGCTCCCTGTCCCTTTTCCAGGAGCTGAGTTCTTTGCTCCCGCCTTGTCAGCCAGGAGCTGGGTGCACATTAAGAGAATTTCAGAGCTTTACAGTGGCGAATTGAGCACTTAGAGGCACTCAGCACTCACAAGAGTTGAGGGGAGCACCATGCAAAGCTGGGCGACCTGCAGTCGTGAGAGGCGTTACCCAAGAGGCTGCACGAGTGTGCACGAGCACAGCTGCAAATGCCAATGCTAAGAGGTCACAGAATAGATAGCTATTTTTTTGTTCCTATTTTTTTTTTTTCTATTTTTTTCCTGCATTTTAGGTGGTTCTTTTCAAGCTGTTCATCCTCACGCTTCCCCTCTTTTCACCTCTCTCTTTCCTCGAGCGCTTCAGACAAGACAGAGTTCCTCCCCATGGTGAGAGCTCTTGCTGGGGTGGCTTTGGGCAGCAAAGTGCTGCTGGGCACCAGGCAGCTCCTGCCTGTGGGGTTGAAGGCAGCAGCAGGCAGCACTGCTCTGTGCAGCACTGCTGTGTGCATTGCTCTGTGCAGCACTGCTGTGTGCATTGTTTTGTGCATTGCTCTGTGCAGCACTGCTGTGTGCATTGCTGTGTGCATTGCTCTGTGCACTGCTCTGTGCACTGCTCTGTGCACTGCTCTGTGCACTGCTCTGTGCATTGCTGTGTGCATTGCTCTGTGCAGCACTGCTCCAGCTGGCAGCCCCGGTGTGCATCCTGCACCCCTTCCTGCACCAGGTTGTTAAAGCTCGCTGTGTCAGGGACAAAGCAACTAAGGTCTATTTTTATGAATGTTCCCAGCTCTTCCCACTCCACAAATTCACCCAGAGACTGTCTTGATTGTATAATAGACATTATATGGAAGCTATTTATATATGAATGAATGTTTTTATAGAAGGAGCGGAGCTCGTGACCCGTGCTCATCCATTAAACCTGGCTCCAGTCAGCGAACAGCCATTTCTGGGGTGTTACCCACGGACTGTCTGATTTCTGGTTTAAAGAACTGTGGTTTGCCGATTTCCTAATTGTACAATTGCCTGAAGAGGTGGTGGTGCCCTGACCTTAGAGATTAAACTTGTAAAAAAACACACAAAAAAAGTTAGTTGAGATATGAAGGAGCTTTGTAAAGTCTTTAAGGCAATGGTGAATTGTCTAGGCTAGCTGTTTACACCCTTCTTTATAAAAATAGAGACTTATTGGCAGATCTTTATAGATTGACTAGTGATGGGAGCTGTTATTTTGGACTTTCATAGTAAATCAAAGGGAAAGTTGCCGTAGCCTTTAGACAGACCTAAGTGTTGGTATTGCTTCTTGTATTGCATTTTTCAATAAATTTTCAAACAAAACCACATCCCTGCCTCCCAAGCCGTTTCCTTGCCAGCTCTCTCCCAGCACCGTTTCCTGCAGTTCCCTCCATGCCCTCTGCAGCCCCGGGTTGGGATGGGATCCCCGCAGCAGAGCCTGAGCGCCCAGCTTCCCCCACAGCATCCCATGAACAGGTGAGCGCTTCTGCAGAGCGACCGCTGCCAAACAGGAATGGCTGTGACCAAACAGAGCAGAGATGTTGTCTGACACCGCTTTTAGCTGCTTTTGTTTGGCAGGGGAAGCATCCATCCCATCCACAGCGTCCTTAAGAGCAGCAGGAATGCCAACAGGAGTGCTGACACGGCGCGCTTGGCGGTGCTGCAGGGGGGCTGGGGGCCAATTGGCTCCCGAACCGCTCTGTGCTTTCAGTTGCAACCCGCTGCGGGCAGAACTTAAAAGAGGGCCATAGAAATCAGCCACAAACAGTTGGGAAACGGCCGCTGCTGGAGCTGCTGCTTCCATCGGTCCTCAGCGCGGTGCGACCGACCCAGCGCAAAGATGAAGCTGCAAAGCGCATCGGGTCGCTGAGCCAGCGCTGCCCCGGGCTCTGAGGTTTGTCCAACCCCATTAGGATCACTGTGTGCGCCAGCGAGCCCCAAACGCTCCTTAAATAACCCTGCCCTGGGGTTGGGGAGGGCTGCTGAGGTCCCCAGTGCACGGCCCAGGCAGAACCCTGTCCCTGCAGGAGCAGCCCTGTGCCATAGAGGGAAATGGAGAAGGGTCAGAAACACGAGTTTGGGGCAGAAAGAGCAAAACTTGGCACGACGTTCAGCTGGTGAGGTGAGGAGTTGGCCCTGCATCCTTTTAACCCCTGCCTCAGTTTCCCCCCATGCAGAGCCTGCCTGCAAGGGAAATAAGAACAGGCAAAGAAACACCATGGAAATGTAAAGGAATTCCAATAAAAAGGAAATCCCCCAAACCCAAAGGAAAACCAGCGATCCCAAAGCACACCTCCTGAAGGCCCCACACCCAGGCTGTGTCTCACAGCTCCCATCCATTTAGAGGAGCCAAAGCCACTGCTCCCCCATTCCCACCCTTTTCCTGATCCCACTTGGAGCAGAACGTTCCCATCCGCATCCTATGGGGATATTTTTAGGCTGTTGATGCCATTCTGGGAGCCAGAACGTAGCTGCTGTGGGCAGGGTCAGTGCTGTCACTTGTGACACCCAGCACCCACAGCCCCTCTCCCTGCCCAGGAGGCACGAGGGGCACTGGGGCAGCCCTGCACCCCAACCCCTGCATCCCAGTGATGGGGATGGGGCTGGAGACTCCCCCCTACTGCATCAGCCCCACTGAGATCTGTGGGCTCCATGCACTGTAGCATCAGCACCTAAGGGTGCTGCAGCTCCAGTGCCCCAGCACCAGCAGAGTGCTTTCCTTTGCATAGACTTTAAATCTTCGGGGGGTGGGAGAGAAACAGACACGACTGCAGGCAGCATCACAGCTATGAGTTTGCTCAGTGCAGGGTGGGAAATGCTGCAAATGAGCCCAGGGCTGAGCAGCTGGAAACCCTCTGCAAAATAGCAGATTCCCTCCATCTCTTTTCCATACCTTGTTATTATATATATATGTATTTTTATTTTTCATTTTTTGCCCCAGCTTAAGGCATTGCATTACAGCTGCACGGCACTGAGGTGCTTTTGGGCTGCTTGAACTTTGTGGTGGGATGGAAGCACCGCCGCAGCCGTGCTACTTCCAACGCTGTGTCCCAGGGCAGCAGCAGAGCTGGGGGATGTATGGGTGCACACAAAGGAGAAGTTACTTTTGATCTCAAATAGCCTCCGGGTGCATTCCTGCCCCGGGAGCCCTTTGGTGGCTTTCTGGCTGGTTGGGTTATGTGCTCACTGAGCGCTGCATCACCTGGAGGTTAAGCAGGAAGCCAACCGCAGCCCGTCTGCTTGCTGGGCTGCTTTGTAGCAAAGTGGAGGCAAAAGAGCATGAAGCAGACACTGAAAAGAAACATACAATGCCAAATTTCCCAAGAGGGAAAGAAAAAGAAGCCCTGACTGCTCTAAAATCAGTGCTTTGAGCCTCGTAGGCGTTCACCTGCCTATTCCCAGCCCTGGTGCCGTGTGCCACCACTGCTAATCAGGGTGGAGATGCAAGCTGGTGGTGAGCCATGGCAGCTCCTGCCCTCCCTCTGTCCCCAGCACCAGCACAGCTCTGCTCGAGGACAGAAGGGGCTTTGGCAGTGACAGTGTGGTGTGTTTGTGCCAGAGCACATGGCTGCCAAATCAAAATGTTCTGCAGAATGGTTCGGGCTGAAAAAAGACATTGTCCTGCAGCTTCCAAGGTCCAAAACTCTGTGCTTGTTTCGTGGGGATGGGAACAAAAGAGAAAACAAAACCATTTCACGCAGCAAAGACATATTTCAGCAGCTGACACTCAGCCCCACACCACAACTTTGCTCTTGGGATAGGAGAGGCAGGGATCCAGCCCGTGCAGCAAAGCCATGCTGCTGTGCCTCCCGGGTCGCTGGCAAGAGCAGCAGCTCTGAGTGAGGATCCACTGCAGCCTGCAGAGGAGCTGGGAGGTTTGGGGACGTCCAGCTGCTGCTGCTGGAAAGAATTTGGGGAGGGAGGGCCCTGCTGAGCACCGGAGCAGCAGCAGGGTCAGGCATGGACCGCAGTGCTGCAAAACAACCTTCTCTGGTTTGTCCTCATGGAAACAACGTGATGCCACTCAGCAGCTCCCATCCTGCAGCCAAACAGCACCAAGTAACACAAGAGCAGCCAGCAGCACCATAAAACCAGAGCCAGCCCTTTCCTCTCCCCCACTGCATCCTCCTGTTGCTTGCATCCAAACAAAACTATCATCTCCACCCCCAAACCAGCTTCGGAAACAATTACACTCCAGGAACTTTTCCATTTTGTTGCTTGAACTTTGCAGCTGCCCAGGCAGCGTGAAGCGGGCAGCAGCACCAACATCTGCAGCTCTCTGAGCTCCTTTTGCATCCCCCTGAGCTCACCACCTCTCTGCACACACACAGCAGCAGGGCACACAGCATTCCTGCTGCCATACCTGCACAGAGGGGCTGTGAAGGAGCTGAGCCCCATTGCAGGCAGTTGGACCCCATATGGCACAAACCCCACAGGACCAGCGCAATGAACACCTCTGCTTTCAGGACAGCAGCATCCACGCTTCCTCCCTTGGCATTCCCTATGGGAAACTGAGTCCTCTGAGCACAGAGGCTGAAGGTACGAGGGATGAGATGGGTCTGTACCCAGGTTTGAGGCAATTTCAGGGAAAGCAGAGGTTTGGTGGGGCTGGTGATCGGCTCCAGTGAAGTGGTGCTGTTTGTGCAGGAAAAGCTCCCCCTGTCCACCTTCCTCACACGCTTTCCCACACTGCCCAGAGCCCAGAGTGGTGGAGATGCCCCACTCCCACCCTGAGTATGAGACAAGGGAGCACTGCGTGGCATCAAGGTAACATTTAATGGCCCTGTCAGGCTCTGCTCAAGCAAATTTCCCTTTGGTTGGGCAAAGGGACCCATCTGTGCTTTGCTCACCCCGACCCCATGCCATGGTCCACCGCGGGTCTACAAGTGAGGGCTCCTCCAGGAAGGCTGCCAGCAGAAGGGCTTTGTAAGACTGAGAGCATCCCAGGGAAGGTGGTGAGGAAGAGGAGGCAGGCGAGGAGGAGCAAAAGTCCCAACCTGGGAGCCCTCCCCAGGCTCGGGGATCTCTCAGCATCAGGAGTCTGCTTCAAACCCTGAACCCCGGGGCCGTCAGACCCGCGAGCCCCCCTCCATGCCCACCACCCAGGAGCTGGGCCGGGGCTCAGCATGGTGTGGTGTCCCTCTGGTCTCCAGTAGCCGGTCCAAGGATTCTCCCCAGTTCTCCAGTTTGGCATAAGCCACCGCGTTGACGTGATCGAGCCGGGGCCAACTCCGGTTTTTACGGTCCTTGATGGGAGCCACCAGCAGCACCCCTGGCCGGCCCAGGTCCAGGGACTTGGAGTGCCCCGGGTTGTGGGGCTGAGCGTCGGGGCTCGCATGCACCGTGGGGCCACCATCCTCCACGTTGATGACAACGTGGCCGCCGTGGTTCTCCAGGCCCTGAGCTGCGATGCTGCCGCCGCTGGGGGACAGCAGGGCACAGGAGGGCGCCAGGCCTTCGGCGGGGAGCTGGGCTCCCTCTGTC